ACCTTCTCCTCTTCCAGTAATTGTAGATTTTTCTCAAGTTCATTGTTTTCCAAAGTTAATTGATCTATTTGTTCACCTTGTGATGAAACTGTGAGTTCCAATGTTATAACTTTATTTGCAAGTTCTTCGATCTTTTCTGCAATTTCAATCACAGAATTCTCAGTGTTCATTTCAAAATGTTCTTTGAGTTTCTCACGAATGGACTGTAACTCGGTCCTGACCTTGTTTAGAGAGTGAATTTCTTCCTCCATGGTTTCAGCAGTGAAGCTCATCCCAGAGTTTTCATTAGATATCTCAGTATTTTCCATCTCAGATTGGCAATATTCACCTTTGAGATCCTTCAGCTTTTCTTTAGCAATTTTAGTTCTTTCAGACTCTATATTTGCCTGTTCCAATGATTCCTTTCGCTGTTCCTGCAGCTTAACTATAGTATCCTCACAAGATTTAAGGACTGTTGCTGTCATTAAGGCACGTGCCTCATCATCTTCGATGACTGTGCTTGTATCGAACTCATCTTGCAAGCAGCAAACTTCTTCATGCATCTCCATAATTTTCTTCTCAATCTCCCAATACTTGGCTATCCCAGACTCATATGAGCTTTTGATGAATTCTTTTTCAGTCTGCAGGACAAGTATTTCTTTCTGGAGCTTATTGATATCTTCTTGTGCCTTTTCTTTATCAACCGGAGATGCAGAACTCTTTTTCTGTGACTTATCTATGCCTAACTCACTTTCTCTTCTTTTGTTCATTAATCCCTCCACTGTTCGCCTGTTAATTTTACTTGGATCAACTGGAGTTATTGCTTTTGGAAAATTATCATCGTCTTCTAACATGGCATACTGGACCCGTTCAGGAAAAGCAGTTGCTATGGTGTGGTTGGCCTTGTGTAATTCTCCTGAAATGTGGTCATATCTGTCAGCCAATGCTCTGTATGCCTTGAAAGCATCTTCCACGTAGCTTATCAACTCTGGTCTCCTTTTGAAGTACAACTCCGCCCTCTTAGCAAAGGAATCAGCATCTGGCTCAATGAGCTTGAGCATTTCTTTCACAGTCTCCTCCATCTCTGTAATCAACGTTGATCTTATTTGTAAGAATATCAGGAAGCACAATGATGGATCAAACACATTTTCTTGCAATATAAAAACTGCATGAGGAATTATACTGTCCATAATAAAAATGGACAACAGCAGAATCCAATTTAATTCCACTTATTGCAGGACAAATTATGAATTATGCAACAATAATAACTCTGGAAGACATAAATCATTTACCAAGTCTTTCTTAACCCTTCATTTTGCGAAACTAACTGCTAAACTAAAGCTCACACGTATACCGCATAACATAGGTCAGGAGGTGAGTTTTACAGGCCTTTGACATTCCATATGTCTTGTGAGGTAAGGACAGGCAAACATGCAATTCTTATATCTGTAAACCTATGAAGAACATCAAGAAGTGGGGTAAATTTGGTAGAGGCATATGATTTATTTAATTTATGGATGCCAATTTATTTTTGAGACATAACCAGGGCACCTTTCCAACAAGCCCTGGTGTCCCAACCATCTGAGGGTTGGCAGCATCAATATTTTCCACCATTGAAAGGTCTAGCTCTTTTAAACCTAAACGAACTTTCTAGTTTGGCTACTATATCAAAGGTTATAATTTAACATTGAAATTCTCAAATTCTCTAGTATACAATTAAATTATCATAGAAGAAACAAGGCTTTAATAATCTTTTGAAGGACTTCATTTTGGACATTCAATAAGTAACTCATAGAGAATTGCTAGTGAATGCCTTAACCAAAAACTCTATATAATTCCATCAAAGTTTCTCTTCTAATTAAAAGAAAAACATTCAATCTAATTGAGTTAGAACTTCTTTTGACCAGCGACTTGAAATTTCATCTTTTCAATAATACTGTGTCCTTGAACCCAGTATGTAAATGCCGGTTCAACCTGTGTTCCTAAAAATAAAATTAATCATGAAAGAAGGAGAACACTCATCAATATATTCCCTTAAATCTTAAGTTCTTTATGAGGAAAAGAAAAGAAGAAACATATCTTGGTCCATTATATATTATGATTACGTTTTTGTCAATTGCAACGGGTGCTTTGATCAAATAGTCAGCAGAGTTTCTTCTTTTCTGTGCCCTCTTCTTTCTTGATTTGCTAGAAAAAGTATTGTTTCTGATAGATAGCCAATAATCGTTCTGGGTATGACGCCAATTCTTGATTCCTTTTCCACCACCTAAACTGTTCCAATACTGTACATCTCTCAATATAATGTAATCTCAACCATTCCGAAGACCCGTTGCATTTTGTTTGTGGAAAACACGTCAGAAACAAGTCTAATTCAATTAAATCCGGATGAAAAAGAAAGCACGAGTACTCCAAAAGAGCAATTTTTTTTCAAAAAGGGATAGATAAAAAGAGGCGGGATTAAGAGAGGAAGGATCAAAGACCGGCCTTGAAGGTTGCAATCGAGCCATTTCGACTGCTTCGTCCTGATGTGACTCGCCCACCACCATGAGTACGCGTTACTCGCAGCCCTCTGCAGCATCTCTCTCCCCACTCCCTGCCTTCCTACCTATCAATTCCTCTCTTTCTCTGAGAAAAGCATGAACCTGAAACGAGAAAACGTAGAAAGAGGAGAGCGCAAAGAAGATGTTTGCTACGATAGTTACAAGGCTAAAAAGGGATAGGAGACGGATGCAGAAGGGAGACGCATTTCCGAAACAAAAGGAGGGGATCCGAGTGAAGAGGAGTAGGCACCGTGACCTTCCATCTTTGCATAGCCTCATTGTCTTCGCTGGTGCACACCTGGACCTCCTATGGTCCTGTTGATGCGGCGAACGATCCGCCTAAGGCGCAGGCGCCGGTGGCCTTACTCCTCCAGCTCTCAGCCTCCAACCAACTCGCCACCTTTCCGCGGGAGGCAAGGGGCGTCCTGCCACCAGATCGTTGTCATCGACGACCTCAACCCGGAAGACAGCCACCCGTCAGTGACGCGCCCACCTCTCCACGGCTACCGCTCGACTGGAAGCGACGTGCCCTGCTCGTGATCGCCAACCTCTAGGGCAGCATCGGAGCCCGCCTACATACTCGCTGCCGCCGCTCCTACTGCGATAGGGCACCACGCCGCCTCCGCCGGCGTGTCCGGCGGCCACTCAAATCAACGAAACCATATCGAAGTTTTGAAATATGTACTCAATATTACCATATGTACCCTTTTTAAAGTTTCCAGAGAGCATATTTACTCCATAAAATATAATTTAGCATATTTAGCACATTTATTTAATAAACTCCTCTTTACCTTTTTAAAGTTTTACAAAGTACTATATATTAATTTACCTTTTATCACTTTCAACAATCATTTTTCAATTTTCTAAACTTAAATTTAGAAATAGAAATATAAAATTAGAATTTAGCATTATTGTATATAATATTTTTGATAGGGGCATTAATGTCAATTTTCAGGCTGATGGCCAATTTAGAGGTATATCTACAAATTTGTAAGCTTTACAAGAGTATATACACCAAATCAAGGTTTAAAGTGGTATATATATATATATATATATATATATATATATACACACCAAATTATTGGATTAAAACAGGAAGAATTGTTACTCAAATTATCCTTCAATATTCTGTTCTAATGCGATATTGATTTTTCTTACCTACTTGTATATATATATATATACACTCTAAGCTGGGATAGATTAATTTTCTATCTAGATTTACATTAATTTGTGGAAATTATATCTTGACTTTATTATAATTTCAATCAGAATTGGTCAAAATAAAGTGGCATCTGCCTCCAGAATATATTATTGTTAAAAATGAGATTTATTTGGAATCAGGAAACTGGTTTCAGCCTGTTTTTGGGAGGAGATGTCGGCCGATATAAACATATGACATATCGGTTCTGAGACGGAGCCAGCTCAATCATCGTCCACGTCATCAATCCGAAAGCAATAACTTTAGCCCACTCTAGCCATCGATTATAGAGAGATCTGCGGCTGAGATTGCCTTCTCATCGCCACAACATGTTGCCGTCACCCTATAAATAACCACCGAATCGGCCACACACAACTCAGTCGCCGTTCCCGCCAACCTCTGCCTTCATCTCAAGTAAATAGACAAGTCTTTCCCTTCCATTTCTCTTCGTTCTCGAAACACTTGTTCTTGATTCGAGATTTAAGCCCTAATATCGAGGTTTCAGGAGCCAGGCGAAGATGTCTGGGCGAGGGAAGGGGGGGAAGGGACTGGGGAAGGGTGGAGCGAAGCGTCATCGCAAGGTGCTGCGTGATAACATTCAGGGCATCACCAAACCGGCTATACGGCGCCTGGCAAGGCGAGGCGGCGTCAAGCGCATCAGTGGCCTTATCTACGAGGAGACCCGAGGCGTGCTCAAGATCTTCCTCGAGAACGTCATCCGTGATGCCGTCACCTACACCGAGCACGCCCGCCGCAAGACTGTCACTGCCATGGACGTCGTCTATGCGCTGAAGAGGCAGGGCCGCACTCTCTATGGCTTTGGTGGTTAGGGTTCACGCTTTCTTAGGCCGCTGTTACGAAGAGAAAAAGGGCAACAAAAGAAGGATTAATATTAAAAAGAGAATCATGCGGCTTATAGTTCGTTGTTGCTACAAATTCTGAGATGTTGCTCTTGTCATTTAGCAGTTTTGTTTAGTGAAGCTTTTTGTCACGCATATTAAGGTATTTATATTCGATCATGTGTGATTTAGGCCAATGAGGAGTTTTGTGTCTGTTAATGTTATTATTTGTTGGGGTTCTGCTGTTGGTACTGATGTTTCATGGTGATGAGAAGCCTGTGAAAGTTATTGCTTATGATCATGAAGGGTGATAAAAGATGCTAGAAATGGGAAAATTTAGGAATTAGGAATCATGATTAATGGAACTTAGTTGTTATAGAAAGGTTTGAGCGCTGGCTAAAGTCTGAGTAGCACATTGATAGGTCACTTGCATTGTTCTGAAATTTTTACTTGAGGTGAATGCCAACTGATTCTGAAATATCAATAATGGAGCAGTTCAAATTGGAATTTTTTGCATATTGAAGTTTGCTGTGTAGATGCACCCAGGTATAAGACCTTTTTTGTCTTTTAAAGAGACTAGATTTTGTTCTGTGTACTTTGTTATGTGGGTTGCTTTAGATAAATATGAAGATTGGCATATATAATAAATATTCATATTAATTGGTTATATGCTGTTTTGGTTTTTATTGTCATTGTCAGGTTTATGACTCCTACAAGATAATGTAGTTAGTGTTGCAGCATTTTTTTCTTCTTCTTCATCATGTATTATCTTAAAGGCTATGAACTGTTAATTTTGCCCATGGCTTTTCCCTATCTGCATCTCTGTAGCAGAAATGACCGGTATGCTCCAGGCATATAACACATGTTCTCCCTGCTTGGTCAGTATTCGAAATCTTATTTACTTATATGAGTTGCAACTTCATATTCTCAAAGTTCTACTTGGTTTCCCTTTTCCATTGTAGCATTTATATTGGCTCATAGATGATTCTTATTGAGTTAAAATCACTCAAGGAGGTGAAAAACTTTAAATAGAGGATCTATTCTACTGCAGATACCCAATCAATAGCTATGACAAGGATGACATTTGTCAATTATTCTTAGTGGTTTAACTGTTGCTAGAGATAAAATTCTTGTCATCTCAAATACCAGTGACTGTCTATTTCCTCCATTTGTAATTGAGCGTCCACTGTGTTTGGTTCTGGCTCATTACGTATTCTATAACCAGTATTCTCTAGAGATGGTACACAAGTACTCCCTGCTTGTTGAATGTTTAATTTCTTTTGTACTTACATGAGTTGCAAAATTTTATCTGCTAAATTTTGAAGTTTAGATTAACGCATAACAAGTGCTTTAGGGTCTTAATTGGCATTTTTGTGGGAAGTTAACAGTTCAGAGATAGAGTGTTAATATTGTGGTCAGTAATTACTCTTGGTAATATAATTACTTTATACGCCATGTGATCCACTCTTGGTAATATAAACGCTTTATATGCCATCTAATTCATTTTCTTGTGTAAGTCTTGTTCAGCTGGAATAGTATTGCAGCTGGTGTTCAATTAGCAAAATTCTGGAATGTGAAAATCTGTGTGGCTCAAGTTCTAGGAGATGTAGGTTTGATCAAATTTAATATATTTTTGCATAATGAACTGTACATGCCCAGTGGCTTGGCTTTGTTATTTTATTCTTTTTCTTCTTAGTTTTTAGTGTTCTGATTTGTACTTGAGCTACTAGGTTTAGCAACTGTATTTCATCTTGATGTCAGAGACCAATTAACTATTACAGTGGCTTGGCTTTTGTTATTTTATATTTTACTTCTTGATAGCTACTAGGTTTAGCAACTGTTCTGATTTTACCTTGAGTTACTAGGTTTATCAACTGTGTTCTCTTTGATCTCATTTTGATGTCAGAGACCAATTAAACTATTATAGCAGCTTGTCTTTGTTATGTTATATTTTACTTCTTTGTTGTTACTGTTCTGATTTTACCTTGAATTGCTAGGTTTATCAAATGTATTCTCTTTGATCTCATTTTGATGTCAGAGACCAATTAACTATGACTTTCTTTGCTAATGCTCTCATAGCTTGTGGTCCATTCCGAGTTCATTTATGTTGTTCTTGCACCATAGAGTGGGAGCTCAAAGCCCTTTTCTTTTTTGCACAAACACACATGTTGGTGTTTGTTCCATATGTATTCTCCTAACACGCTGATTTTTTTTTTCTGGTTTATTTATGGGAATTAAATGCCACTATTTTGATGCCCAATTTCTCTCAGCTTATGCTTTTCCATGTGAGACTTGATGGAGATGTCTTAAACGTGTATATCTTATTTCCTAAAGAAGTGTTATAAATCATTTGTTTATGGAGCACAGAAGACATGATTAGTTGTCTCAAGGAGACAGGGAGCAGAAAACAGCTGCATGACCTAAGTAGAGAGTTGTACATTTGTGGAACATGTAGGTCTTAGGAACATAGAGTTCAAGCTTCTTATGCAAGTTTTGATAGTGGATCTGTCAAAGTAGCTGGTGTCAATGATAGCGAATCAGCATAATGAAGAATGGTGAAATTAGAACTAGCTGAATAATTTGTTAATAAACCTACAGTGTTTGTTGACGATTATCATGAAAATTAAGTCATTGTTACAAGTATTGTGAAGCTGAAGAGATGAACAACACTTGGTAGAACAGAAGATGTTGTAGGTTCCCTTATTTCTAGTACAAAGATTGGGGTAAACACGTTCCAACTTCTATGTGAAATTTTGGGTGGCTCTGATGTAAAGAAACCTAGGACCTTTGGTGTATCAGAATCGAATAGGCAGCTCAGACCTTCACTGGTAGTACATAATCGTTGGGTTTCATAGAGCAATTGTTTTGGAGGGGGAAAAGAAAAGTGGAGTAAGTAAAGATACCTGAAAACTGGCTGTATCATGTGCAAGCATTATTCAGATATTATTAGTGGTTTAACTGGTGCTAAAGTTATAATTCCTGGACTCATCCATGAGTTTGTGATAGAAGGAAATTTGATTGCAGAGACAATTTTCTTTAGTGATGATGGAAATGTTCTGTTTACTTAGTCTGTTCGAGTAAGGTTCTTCTGGACTTATTAGTTATCTTGATGAATAAGAATGCTTTATATGCATTAGTGCTAGTTTGTTGAATATATCTCCATGATTATGGTTCTGATGATCAAGCACTGAAGAAATGTCTTCAATAATAATAATACGTTAACCTGTCAGCATGTTGATGTGGATAATTCTTGACCTTCTACTGTTCTTTCCGGCTAAGTTTTTCTCCATAAAATTGTTCATGTCACTGTTGCCAAGTTATGCACCATCTAAATCTTCCATTCAGAATGAGAATCATGCTTTTAGATCTTATAATCATGTTGTTCTGCTGTAATAGGACATTGTTCTATTAATTAGCAATATCTGCAATGAACCTTAGTAGTGATGCTGGTGGATACCTGAAATTATAATTTAGACAGCTTTCCATGGTTTTGCATCTTCTGGGCAGATGGATAGCTGGGAAGGTCTTACTTCTGTTAGTTGCTGATATATATACCAAAGATATGGCCACATGATTATGAAAAGTAGAGATCATCAGTTTCACAGGTACAAGGATAGAGCTTTATATGATCTTTTTACTGCACAATTTGGATATATTGGTTGTGGATTTGCGTCAGTAGCTTCTTGCTTAACTAGTAATCCTACAAGCTTTATGGCTTCTAACCTTATCCATCGTTAAGCAGGATAGTTTGACTTTTTCTTCAAACGTCAACGCTGTGGTTCAGACGAGGTTCCATCATCATGAAAAGCTCAAGAAAATTGTTTTGACATGGCTGTTGCATTCAAGGTCTGTTCTTGGTTTTTTTTTTCAGAAAGCTATTGTTAGCCTCTTGTGGGGTTTGTGTTTCATTTTCTATGTTCAATGCAATATATATAGTTGGGAGATAGCTCCCCCTGTAGTGGATTCATCATTTGTTCTTGGCATTATAATGGGTTTACTGCTTACAATGTGTAAAGCAGGTGCTTGAGAGGCTTATATGGAAGTGGCCGTGCTAGAAGCTGGCCGTGGTTGCACTATTGATTATAGAGCAAGCAGATCTGGGGCCATGTCATGATGTGGTTTGATCTGGTACGTATTGATATCTTATAGCCTGACATACACCTGCTTTCAGTTGATACATTTTAGTTTTAATTTGAAGCAAGTTAGATCATTAAATCTTCCATTACGATCAACTAGTTCGACATTAATTGAGAAATCTTGAGACTTTTTTTTACAAGAGAAAAGAAGAATCTAATAAGATTTTGTAGTTCTACTGGTCTTCTGCAATAAGACCTGTGTTGGTCATTATAAGGGAAGGTTTTAAGTAATAATCTAAAAAAATTATATTGAAATATTTATAGAAGTAAAATATTTAATTTTATTTGCTTGTTGGTTTTACTGATGGAAGATAATTTTAAAAATGATGAGTATATACATATGCAGGAATGATATAAAAATGATGAGTAAAAAAATAATTTTAATATTCTAAGTGAGGTATCTATATGGGTGAAAAGTGAGGCAAAGGCTTTGTATCTTGGCGATACAGATGTAAAGCAATGTTGATGTAGATGTAGGGTGATGCATAGCAGAAGTTGTAGATGTAAAGTAGAGTGGTGCCATTTTGCATGTAAAGTAGAATAGGTGTTGTTCTTGTTTCTTTTCCTTTGTTTTCCTTTGTTTCACCTCTTATTTTTGCTCTCTTCTTTTTTTCCTCTCGTAAGAAGTTATAGAAGTTTCTTAACTTCACCTTCAAGGCTTCACCCTACTCGTTTCTAAGGACATTCCTATGTTGTTCTTGTTGACTACCACCACAATAGCCATTTGTGGTCATCGACGATGTTGCTATTGTTTGCTACCACCATAACAATTGATTAAGTTTTAATTAGGACATAATTATTTATGTTATATTTTTCGTTGATAAAACCGATGATATTATGATAAATAAGGTTAAATATTTTACTTTTGTAACTATAAAGATTTTTATATAAATTTTATTAGTCTAGGAATTGAGATATTAAAAAAGTCTAACTATATAGAATAATAGGATAATATGTAATTAGGTCAATTTTATCCTCTTCGGTTCTAATTTATAACTCAAATCTATATAAATAATTTATACTCTTAAAAAGACTTAAATTGCTGTGCTCTAAAGAACATAAAAGCCACAGTTTCCTCGTTAAATCTTACCTCTCCGATTCTGAGAAGGAATCCGACTCTAATTACATAAGTCACTCACTTGTAAACCACGATTTCCTCTTGAAACCTCTGTCTACGATTCGGAGAAGGAATCCAACTCCAATAACTTGAAAGCTGTGCTTCATGGTCTTGCTATATATACTCGTGAAGGGTTTCAGTTCACTTGCACTTCAAAGTCCGAAGAGCGAGAGGGAGAGAGAAGGCAAGCATGAGCTCTGTGTGTAGGTCTTCTCTGAGCTGCGTGGACGTACGTGAGTCGACGAGAGCCAGCTACAAGAACCTCTACAAGTGGCCGGAGTCCGATGCCGAGTTCGTGAAGTCGATGGCGGCGGGAAGAAGAAGAGGGGAGAGAGGTGACCCCAGCGGTCTCAACAGCGGCACCAACCTCGAAGAAAGGAGGCGGCCGAGTGCAGGCCCGAGCGTGGTCGATAGCTACTCATGCCGCCAGTTGTACCTGAGAAGCTACGTCTTCACCAAGGAGGAGACGGTCTCAGAGAAGATGAAGTGGTACTGCTTCAGAAAGGAGAAGAAGACGGCCGCAGTCTTGCCCATCTTCGCCAGCGGGAGCACCGTGAGCAGTGGCGGCGCCGACGTCCATACCAAGAGGAATGGGAAGCATAAGAAGACGAAGAAGGATTGTGCGGCTCTAATGAAGCTAAGAGATTTCTTGCATCGCCTCCTCTGCACCGCCGGCGTCGACGTGGTGGATAGAGATTGATTCGTCGTTTTAGATCAAAGGACTCACCATCTTTTCTTCTTCTTCATATGGAGTTAGAAGGACGTCAGGAAGGAATCATGTAGGAAGCAGACGTCTTCTCTCTCGATTCTGTCAAAGATTGGTGTGAAGAACAGAGTCTAGTGATCAGCTTTTACATCTTGTTCTCAATCTTTAGCTATTGGATTGAAAGAAAGGATGAACAGCTAAAGTTACCTCAAGAGAAAAATCCGAATAATCCATCTCGGTTAAGATTTCTTAAAGCTCGATAGATATTTTCAATGTTCGAAAAGTGGTCAAGATTGGATCAGACTTCACATCATTGAGCTGACAACAGCAACTGCAAACTCAAATTGTAGCGCAACCATTCCAAAATTGTGAAGACTCAATGATGAGATAAACCTGCAAACGCTGCCAAGTTAAGCATCGAGTGCAGATGGAATCGGAGTGCATGGAAGCTGGCATTTTGGTTTTTTAAGGTGAAGTAAATGATATGGAAGGGATAAGGTGGTACCCATCAGGTTGATTGATTACTTGCTGTCACCGAGTGTTGGACTCACACATCAGCTGGTCCTCCAAGTGGACAGACAGATATCTATAGATCTCGAATTGCTGTCCCTGCAGTTTAAATCTACCAGAGTCTGGATATGGTCTCATATCTGCAATCAAAATATATGCATGAGCTAAAAATAATAGCTCATTGGTAAGGTGGGTAAGGATGAGAAGAGTTAGATGATACATGATAGCTTTGACAAGTTTGTGTTATACAAGTAACTCAATCAAATGAAGTATGCAAACCATTTCAAGCTACAGATCGAAGTGAAGCCAATTCAACTTATTCATATTCAGGTTTATGGTGTTATTGCTTCAATATTCTTTTGTAAGTATCACAATTCTCAACAAAAAAAAAAAAAAAAAAAAGAACTATTCTTAACATTGTGAAAAGCAGTGACTTGTGTTATGTACATTCTAAACTCTCATCCTATATCAAACTAGAGAACAAGATACTATAAGAGATATACACCAAAACAAAGTCTTGTTATAACATCTTCTTCTATACAATCAAAGATAACCAAAATCTTATAGGTCAAGAAGTTAAAAAATTTATAGAAGTAATAGATGAATTGCTTCTTGTTACAGATAATAAAACTTCAATTTAAGAAGACATAAAAATTTAGAAAAATAGAAGGATGTTATGAATAAGAAATTAACTCCGTATTGTGAGAAACAATAAATGGGAGTTAGCATCATTACCTCAAGGATAAAATACTACTATCGAAAATTTGGTCTATAAAATTAAGAAAAATATATGAGATTAAGTTAAAAAGTATTAAACTAGATTGATAACAAAAGATTAGAATGAAAAAAAAATGACATCAACTATGATGGGGTTGTTGACCTTGTTGTCTGAATGAAATCTGCTAGATTGATTATTCCCATTGTCATGTAAAATAACTGATCAATCTGTCAAATAGATGTAAAATTTATATTTCTAGATGGTTTTCTTAAAAAAATATTGAATAACCAATGCACTATATTAAAAAATAGAGATATGAAAAAAAAGTTCACAAGTTCTATATGACTTAAAGCATCTAAAGCATGGAATGTTAGAATTGATGTTCTTTGTAAAAAATGAATAAAAATAAAAATATTTTACTCATTTTCTTGTATATAGATGATCTTATAAAAAAATTTCGAAAATGATTGACAGACTTAAAAAATTGAAAACTATAATTCCATTTTGAACCTAGAACTATTTATTTTAATTTTTCATTTTTCAAACATATTCATCCAATTTGCCATTAATTAAACTATTAGATGAGGCACATGTTAGATTAGGTAGTTTTGTCTAATTAGGTAAGACATAGTATAAATCTTATTACATCCTAATTATGATTATCATAAGTTCACTTATGATATAATTTTTTAGAAGATGACATTGATGGAAGGGACTCTCTTAATTACTTATCATAGATTTTTTAGTCTCGCCTATATATAAATAGAACCTCGGACTAATAATAAGATATAGAAGAGAGATTATAGATATACTATCATCTCTCATTAGTCCCTATTCGATCGTTCATGGTAGTCCTATAAAGGTTAGAAAGAGAGAAAAATGAGAGTATAATTCATTCTACGTATCTGTGTTAGTATTACCTATTGATTGGATTATAAAGAGCATTTTTAAATTAGATAATGTTTTTCTAAATGACATCAAAATGTATGATATTGATATATTGTTATTTGATTTAAGTTCTTCGCATCAAGTTTTCCACATAACAATAGTATAATTATAATTTTTATGCTTACAATTAGTATCATAACTTATTTTAAAATCAAATACCTTAGATGGTAAAAATATATCAGATCTGTTTCGAGTTTAGATATACTTGTTAGTATTCTTCACCCACAAAAATGTGTTATTTGATTTTGAATATATGATGCTTGAATGATCCGTCTATATTATTAATATGGTTTTTTATCTCGTTCGTCTTATCACCTATTCGCGGGTGATGTAAGGTTTCTTGCTTTAATATCACACACTTAGTTGTTTTTGCTTAAGTCATGTGACACCCTTACATGTTCATCCGCAAAGGTTAATCTTCTTGAAACCTCCAATGGTCCCTTATGACCTGTAAAAGAGAAAACGGGTTAGTGAAAGCGTTTCATTTGAGATCCATAAGTAATCATTTCAGTAAATACTTTATAGCCAATGGTAATTATAAATAGACTTCACAAGCACTAAACTGTCACACAATAAAGGGTCTAAAATGGTCCACTATAGACCGAAATCCCCACAAGTGCCTACATGATACAACCTTTGTTTATAAGCCTAAGACGAGATGACTACCAAAGCCAAAGAAAATAGGGCTGCTAAGCCTACTATTAGCCCTTTAAATACTGTGCAAAGCATGAACAAAAATAAAAGACACGGACATACATGAGTATTACAACAAACACTCGATCCATAGTTTTGTCCATAACATTCTTCCCTATTTATTCCTTCGATGTTCTCGTCGAAGCTTTTGTAGACGCTGCATCTCCTCGCCTTTGTTGATTCTTCAATCTTCTACTCCAATTGCAATGCACATTTTGACTCCCAACTACACTCTACTGTTATTGTTGAGTAGTCAAACTTTGATCTGCCATACTACTTCAACTCACCAATGACTTTGACTCTGGTGTGGGGTCAGTTGAGTTATGCCGATCTTTGTTATTTCATATGGATCCTTTAGACGAAGAAAAAGACTGTCCTTAGTATACACTAGTTTCTCAAATGTCTTACGCTGCTTGAACTAGGTGGATGCTTATTGGAGCTTTAACGAGCATCGCCTTATAGACTTTAAAGGTTTTGGGTCATTCCTTTGTAAAATTTGTCCATCAATTTTTCTTTCACTTAGTCATCACTTCCAAGTAGGTTCGCATCACTTTCGCTTTCGATTGACATTCTCTTGGGAAATGAAGCGAATAATCTACTCTTAATAGCACTGATCACCATTGGTGAGGATTTGACAACTATTGTCTTCCACTAGGTTTCTTCGAATGGTCTTTGAACTTATGTAGAGCTCCTTTGTTGGATAGATAAGAGAATTGAGATACTCAGTTTTGTCCATTCTTTTAAAAGTTAGGAAGACAAAGATTACTTGACTTCGTTCACCTCCTCGAGGGTTATACTCCATGCATCGAGCTAGTTACTAGCCTTCGCCTGCTCTTTGGTCACACTTTTGAAGCACTTGAAGTATGTGTACTCCTTGCATTGAGTTAGCTACTGTGATTCACCTTCTCAATGTCATTAAACTTTTGAAATGCAAGAAGTTTTCACCCTAACTTAGAGCAAGTCTCTAATAGTTTTATTCGCCTTTGGGATTGTACTATCTTCTCCATCATCTTTGCCGCTTACTCCTCTCAGTCAGAAAGGTACAGCACTGCGTACTGCCTACTTCGTTCCTTGGTAGAGCACTCTTGCATTGACTTAAAGTCCTCCACTTTCGGCTATCTTGATGAGAACCTTGTTGACACTGGTCTTATGAAGTTCCCTAGCCTCTGTCCTTTAGCCTTATCTTGATACTTGAAGTTTGCCTCTACATTCTCTACATCCTTGACCCATTTCATGACTAGACACTCTCCATCCAAGAGAACAATGGATCAATGTCTTCACGGAAGTCACGCCTCTGTGGTACCATGGTGTTGCCATGCCTATGGTCCTACTATCTATCGCCTTGCATCTATATCTCTTTCTTCACAATCGGTAGATCTACCTCTGTGGCATTGTGGCACTCATCCGAGTACACCTTCATTCTAACCGATGCTTTGTTTTGGGTAGCTAAGTCCCTCTGGACTTATCGTCGCTTCCTTACCCCTTTCGACCTCCTATTTTAACACCTTTGTGTTCTCTAGCAATTCCCCTTGGTCGATGGAAAGATAGACTATAACTCTCATGCATGGCCTCCGCTATCATGTTATAGGGTTTACACTGATTTTATTATCCTTAACTTCCTTGGTAGCAATGTTCATTTACTCAACCTTGTCCTTTGACTTGCCAAGCTTCCTTAAGCGAATATGAGCACTAGAGCAGTCCAACTCTCCAACTGCTCTGATCAAACCTCTGCATGATTAAGTCCCACCCCATGGGACTTATTAGTAATTGCATTCAAAATTCTCCCTCGGTGGTACACAGCCACAATATACTGATAACTAAAGCTTTTATCCGATGCAAAATTTGATGTATGTATGGAAGACTCACCTTTGCGATACCATGACATTCACTCCTTGAATCCATATCCTTTTTTACTATCGTGTTGTTCATTGAAGTGAAGCTCCCAATAGCTCCTGATCATACCTTCGTATAATCTAGTCCCTCGCGGGACTAGATTCGTGTGTATGATATTGCCATGAATTGTTCCACCATGATCCGCTACACCATGTCACCTCCTGGTGACATCTCTATTGCATCCTGATTATTGTGGGATGAACTTGGATTGTGATCCCTCTATGTGTGGCCT